ATTAATAGGTAGATGTTGAATTATTTGATGATCAGGGTACCTTGAAGACCAATTGTGTAGGGAGATCTGCCCATCGAGGCATCCTGAAAATTTTTGAACTGACGTTGATTGTTTCCGGTGATCAGCAGCCTGTAAGCCTGCTTTGGACTCATTTTTAAATACAGAATAGCGTAGGAAGCAACTAAAAATGCTGCATTGGTTTTTTTCTCCTCGTCGTCAGTTGTGTAATGAATAATGTGTCTCTGATAGTGGCGAGGGTTATTGAATATGTGGTTCACCTTCCAGCAGTATCTGTTTACGCGAATAATTTATTGGGGAAAATTAAGGCACAGAATTTAGTCATCAGTTGTTGAAGTCATTGGATAATTTATTTACTTGTACAGACAGGCGAGATTAAGGGGTCCAAAGTCGTTGTAAAAATTGTTGTAGATTAGCTCATCGTCAATGCTGAAGAAATAGATATCAGAAGTGGCTTTAGGCTCGCGTTTTCCTGGGAGTAACGTGGCGAAGTAGAATTTATTCTTTATGAGCTCTGTTATTAGACAGATATCTGGGTGATAAGCGACACTGCTCGGATAGTCATGCTCCATTTTTTAAAATCGAGAGGATTCACTCAATTCTACTTTTCTTGATTAATTTTGTATCCCCGGATTTATTCCTCAGACTGTTAATTTATGGTTGAATGATTGAACTTTAACGAGGAATTTTCATGCCAAAATAAAAACGCCTGATGAATTTCTCCGCTCACTTCACATTCCTCAATTATTACCACTTGTTTATCGAATGTTTTTTCTCTTGGATTTGGAAGGACTAGGGATTGCAATAAATTGACAGTTCAGTGGATTGTATAATCTTATTATTATTAATTAAAAGTCAAACGAGAATACAATGCAATCATTTACGTACGTGTTACGATGAATATTTCATAGCACTAAAGTTGATAATTTTCTTTATCATGGGATGAGAAAACATTTTCATTCGAAAGCTAGATTCAAACATTTTTACTTAAATTTTCTTTGATAAATAGATTCTTTCGTTTACCTATAACTAACCATAAGATACGCTTACTACGGAGGAAAAACAAATTGTGGGGATTGAATTTCAGGATAATTACAAATTTATTAATTTTATCCCAAAACTCGGCTCTCCCCAAAGCTGACCATTTGTCGATTACACGTCTCTCATGAATTTCTGTGCAAACCTTTAATATAAAAGAATAAATAAATGAATAACTCAATAATAAAGTATAAGGCGACAATAGAGAGAAAAAAAGAAAAGGGAGACATAAGCTGGTAATACTTTGACTATTAAACCTGAGCACAATATCTATAAACTTCAGGTAATTACCAAAGTCCAGCGTAATGACCCATTATTTGGTATAATTGCATTTGAATATCAATCTTCCAATGGAAAATGCCCTTAAGTTAAAGTCTGTCTATTTACACATGACAATTTTTATCAAATCATTCACTTTTTACGATAAAATATAAATTGAATAATTATACTCTTTATTGCTCCACTTATTTTTTTCTTCATTTCAACCAAAAATTTTCAACTCAAATTAAGTTTACAAGTTTATTTATTAAATCAAAACAATTTTACCCATGCATTAAATATATAAACAATAATTTTTTATAATCATCAATTCACCAATGATTTTTCTACACTCGATATCTTACGGTGGGCATCAAACATTTCAATTAACGTGGAGAATTACCGTGACAATATCTTCAAAATCTATTCACATTTGAATATTCTTAATCGTAAAAACGCACCCTAAATTGCAGCTCTTAGGAATTTAAGATAATGGAACTAACGGATAGAACAAAATAGAAGTTTTATGGCTATAATAATTCATATATATTCGTTGTTAACACGTTCTCTCGTCGTTTTCTTTCTATCTTTGGATTTTTCAGTTCAACTCGGCGCTCTCACATCTGCATATGACGAGGATCAATGATATTTTAAGATCATAAGATAATTGATCCTCGCCATCATTTAACTTACTGATTAAACTCTTAGACAATTCTACGTTTAATTGAGAATCATACAAGTTGAATAAATCTACACTCTTCAAAAATTTTCTCATTTTCATAATTAATCCGCACATTCGTGTATACGTTACACGTATTCTTTCCTAAAATTCTACCTCTAATTAATCGAATTATATACAAACACATGTTCAAGGATTTTGATCCTTAGAAAATATTACTGAAATAGTACTCAGTGCGAAAAAAAAAATAATAATAAAATATCAGGCACAACCAACCAATGTAACTGAAAATCTATCAAATGTGCCTAAACGCGATGGATTTAGGCTATAGATCCCTCAATTTTCTCATAGATAAAAATAAAAATCTGTTTTTCATTGAAGAAGAAACTAGCCACGCCATTTCAGTGCGTTTTGTCTTTCGAAATTCAACTCGGTAGTAACCGCAATCATCTCTTAACCAATAAGTTAATGCCCAGGGTGCTCCAACGAGTCGATATTATCATAATAAAATCGTTTATCTCGAGGGACTAAGTAGATTCTGTAAGGCACGATCGTGAACATGATGGGAAACCGTGATTTCACCTGGGAATTATACCTAACGATATCAATTCAATAGCGAAGAGGTGAAAGGTTGAAGATCGATTAAACCAGCAGTCGAGTTTTCGGAGAATATCTGTCTCGTCTTAATCGAAACGAGATCTACACCGATATTTACCAAAACCTCGTTGCCCTTTACCTCTTCGTTAATGCATCAATTACTCACACATTTGTACAACGTTATTATCCTACGACTTATTAATCATTGAATTCTAAGACTATTATTTCGCACTCATTCGTTATTTCTATTGACACCGAGCATCTTGGCTGCATCGTCAGCAGATGCTTGTAGCATCTGATCAACGACACTCTTGTCTCCGATGCCAAGTAAATTGGAGATCAGATCATTGTCGTTGTCTGGAGCTGTCTCCGTCTCGAAGTTCTGGGTATTAGCGAGTTTACCTGATAGTGTAGCTAGATTCTCGTAGGGATTGAATCTCATGAGACTGTTGGGTGCAGCATCACCAGTGGCAATTGGTGCCATTGTTGGTAGAGAGATTCTCTCTCTGACCCTGGAGTCACCAGTGGTAACAGAGATGAGAGGAGCCTGCTGGGTTCTAGGTGTTATCGTTGGTGGTTGAGTCGGCGCTGATTCCTCATCGCCACTTGTTCCAACGTACATTGTTGAGTCAACGGACTCGTGCTTCTTCCTGTGACGAAGCATGCTGTGCTTCAGGGTAAATCTTCTCGAGCAGATGTCACAGGAGAATGGTCTTTCACCTGTGTGTGTGCGCATGTGACGTCGCAGGTCCTCAGCTGACCAAAAACGACGCATGCAGAAAGCACATACGACTTTTCTGTTGCTGTAATCAGGGAATCTGCCTCGTTTCTCCTCACCATCGCTGTGGTGGGAGTGTGGTGGTGGCTGTTGCTCCTCAAGGGTTTCAGTGTCCATCTCCAAAGCACCTTTGGCGAGAAGCATCTCGTAAGACCGCTCGTGGTTATCTTTGATGTGCTCCAGGCAGTCTTGACGTTCAGCAAAGCCACTGTCACAGAGGTGGCACTTGAATGGTGCATCAGTAGGGCCTGGTGATGCTCTGGGTGAGGGTCTTCTTGATTTTGGTGTGTCAGTGGTAGATGATGAGGTGTTGAGGGCGGTTTTTGATACCTCAGTGGATGCAGTTGATTGCTCCATTGGCTCAGAGACACTCGATGATTGACTCTCGTATCCACTCTGGTCGTTCTGTTTACTCGGTGGTGCAGGACTGTTTTGTCTCTCAGAATGAGCTTCGCTCATGGGGCTCTCTGGTCTTGATTTCTCCTCGTGTGAGTGCTTCGTTGATCTGTGCTTCTTGAGATTGCCCAGAGTGGAGAATGTCGAGCTCGGGCACTGATTGCATTTGTACGGTCTCTCAGGGACATTTCTCATGGAGAACGTACCGTTATTGTTCGTGGGCACCTCCTGTGCCTCCGGAGACGATGAGTTTCTGATTCTCCTCATCTTGTTGGGATTTGCCTTGTGCTTTCTCAAAAGGTGGCGATCGCAATTTGATTTAGTCGTGAAGAGGAGAGAGCAGTGGACACACTGGTAGGGCTTTTGTCCAGTGTGCGTTAGGATGTGTCTCCTCAGAGATGAGGTCCAGGGGAATGGACGCTCGCAATATGGACAGATAACTCGATTTGGTGCCATTGAGTAAGCGGACTTCTTCTTCTTCTTCTTCTTCCTCTTGAGTTTCTTGAGCTTTGAGGAGGAGGAATGACCGGAGTTACCAGAATTCACTGAGTCCGATTTTTCATCGCTGCCGGAGTTGTTGCAGTCGCTCGTTGACGCAACCAAGCCCTCCTCGTCGCTCATGTAGGGTGGCTGAAACTGTTGGTATTGCTGTGATGCATTGTCCAGTAGTTCGGAGACACTCGCCAAATCGGCATTTCCATCCTCCGCTTTGATACTCGTTTTATCGTTCATGTCGTCGTCATCTGACTGCTTGAGCTTTGACTCGTCCTCTGGTTCTGACTTGACCTTCATGTCCACTGGATCCTGATCCATTGCATTCTCAGAGTTTGCAGATTTCTCCGTGACTTCCCTGGTAGAATCCCTAGGTGTCTCCTCAAGTTTACCCCTGAGCAGACTAATGGGCTTGTCCTCCTCAGGATTCTCGCACTCTTTGTCAGCACCCTCGTCGATTATCAACTCCTCATCGGTGTCATTCTCCTCGTGCTTATTTCCCTTCAATTGTTGAGCAAGAATAGCGTACTTCACTTGATCGGAGATGGCGTGCTTACCATACTCAGGCTGTCCCATTTTTGGTAGAATGACGGGATAGGGCTGCTGACTCTGACTGTGATTGATGCCATGCAGCAGACTTGGTGGATTAGTCGGTGGTCGTCCCCTTGTTGAGTGACCACCACGTGGCCTCTGGCTCCAGTGCTGCGGATGCTGTTGCTTGATGTGTCTCTCCATATTGCTCCTCAGTGTGAATCTAGCTGAGCAGTGCTCACAGCTGAATGGCTTCTCAGTTCTGTATCTCCTCTGCTTCTGCTTTGGCATCAGCACACCGTTCTTTATAACCATCTTCACGGAATTTGATGTGGGCGTTGTCTCGATCTTGTCTCGAGGGCTTGATGGCACAGCTTTGCTTACAATTTTCGACGCCATCATTTTGGTGTATTCACTTGGCTCTTCATGAGATCTAGGCGTCAAGTCTCTTCCCTGGGGATAACCACCTGGAAAACGGGTGTTATTGATCGGTGGTTCAACCAGGGTACCTCCACTCGTCAGCTGAAATCCCCTGACTAGCTCTTTCTGTAATCTATCTCTCATGGCCAAATCCTGTCCCAGAAGGTGTGGATTGAACAGATAAGGCGGAAGGATTCCCCCTCCAACCCCAGCTCCCGGAAATCCACCGAAGTTACGGTAGAGTAGTTGAGCGTTGGCATAGAGAGCTTCCAAGGAACTCTGCGAGTGACCTGACTGTCCAGCTTTCAGGAGGGCCTGTGTCAGGAGCAGTTGATTAGCTGCTGAGTCGTACACGTCCTTCTGATTTTTATCAAAATCATCTGTCGACAGATCAGCTCCACTATCCTTTGATTTCTTGCTCAGATCGAGAACGTCCATCGACAGATCCAATGGTGCATCGTCACCTGATGTTGTCTTCAGGTCGATTGGACTTGCCTGGGGTCTTTGGTGTGGCTCGGTTTTGACGTTGACTAGTGATGCACTGTCATCGGATGATCTTGAATCCTCCTCGGTTCTCGAGTAGTTCGATGTTGTGAAGTCCTGGGGATGCTCCGAATCCTCGGAGACCCTGTGGGACAGCTCCAGCAGGTGAATCGGAGGTGGTCTTGAGAATACATCTGTCTGTTCGTAGTGACTTAGAGGTGTTGCACGCATCGATGCCAATCGTCTCAGTCTCACCTGCTCGGCGATGAGGTCGGAGTGCCTCGAGTTGCGGAGTCTTCTCGAGTACTGGGTCTGAGAGGAAAGCTCATCCCTCTCGGTATAGACTAGGGACCTACGGGCGTCCTCTCTTATAGCTCTCGATGTTCTGTCCCGTGAGGTCTCGCGTCCATTCGTGGATTCCTCCTCCGTGTGTTCGATCAGGGAATTCTTGATTTCCTCTTTGTCTGTGATCTTGTGGCCGTTCTTCACATGCCTCTCGCAATTGGCTTTCGTCGTGAAGGCAAAGTTGCAGAGGGAGCACTCGAAGGGGCGCGAGCCGTTGTGGAGCTTCAGGTGACGGCTCATCGCTGCTTTGTCCGTTGATGTGAAGGGGCAGATATTGCAGGAGTATGGCATACCTGGGCGGACACCCATGTGGTGTTTGTGGTGGCCCTTCAGGGCACGCAGATTTGGAAAGACCTCGGGACAGAGGCGACAGGGGAACTGGCCCTTGAGTTTCATCTGCTTCAGTTCAGCAGCATACGCTTCCTCCTCTAATCCATTCTCTGATGGTGCTGTACCTGAAGAGCCAGACGAGTTGACGTTTGGATTTGACGTTTGGATGTGCTGATCCGGAGTGCTGGCATCGGATCGGGGGAAAATTGGTCCGGATGTCACAGATATAATGCTCTGTATGTCAGCGAGATCTCTGCCTTCTCTTGCCTCGGTGAGGGCCGCACGGTTCTGAAGATTCAGACCAGCGAAGAAGTCGTTTCGTTTTGAGTGATCGTCTTCCACAGGGGTAGCTTGACAGTGAGGGGTTCCACAGTCCATCTCGTGTCCCTCAAGGGCTGACTTGCACGGAAATGCTCGCAGGCATTTTGAGCACTGGAATGTTGCACTCTCACCAGATGCTGGACGATGAAGAGACTGCTCGCACACTGCTCTAGCTATTGCTGGAAATTTTTCCGCTGAGAAATCGACGAATGTCAGATCGTTGAAGCCCACCACTGAGTTTCTGAGATTTCTCGTTGGTACTGATGCGTCGATCGAGTGAACCATAAATTTGTGGAGATTAAGGACTCGGTGGTTCGGAAAGGAGCGGTTGCATGTGTCGCATTCTGCTGTGTAGTCTGGATGATTCTTGTCTAGGTGGGCCTCAAGGAATGCCCCAGAGGGAAAGCTACGGGAGGGACAGACTGGACACATGAACGAGCTAGAGAGAATACCCTTTCCCTCGATTCGCGAGTTGTTCAGAAGAATCTTGGGCTTTCTTTGAATGTCAATGTCCTCTGGATACTCTGATCTCTTTCTCTTTCTCGATGCCGGTGATCCTGACTCAACAAGATCTGGTGAACTTCTCTTCGCTATTTCATTGTTATTGTATTCGTCCACCTGTCGATTTGTCGCTGGCCTCTCCGAGTCACTGCTACCCTCGGAATCCGTGTAACTGTGAGGTGACACTTCACGATGCGCTGTTCTCAGGTGTCTATTCATATTTCCATTTGTTGTGAATGCCATGTCGCAGTATTTGCACTTGAATGGACGCTCACCCGAGTGCACCAGGACGTGACGATCCAAGGAACTTGCTGAGCTAAGAACTTTGTGGCAAACGCCGCAGGAGTAGTCCTCCTCACCGCTGTAATCGGTACTTCTGGGTGAATTGTGACCCCGGAGATGATTTGTCAGGTCACGGGATGATGTTAGCACGAGGGGACACGCAGGACACGGGTATGATCCCTCCAATTGCTCTGCCTGAAAACATTGTCGTTTTTTATTCGAATCATTCACTATAATCGATTCTCTAATAATTAATATCAATCGGAAATCTCAAGGTAATTAATTAATCAACAATTTTTTCTCTTTGTGGAATTGAGGGACTTCTTCTGGTGTAGATAATCAGTTTTAATTCCGAATTCTCTTGGCAATTTACCCCGCGATCTTTGAAATTCATTTGTGGAGTCTGTGATGCAGAGGATGAAGAGGGAATTTAATAATTTTTTAATTGACTTACCGATGAAGTTGATGCGGCATCGGTCTGTGTTTCACTACTGTGTCGCTGGTCCGGAATATTCTCGATAGTCACTGGAAATATGAAGAAATATCCTCTTAGCTAGTGGTTAAACGATACAGGGAAGGATGCGATGTGGTTTCAGATGGAGCAAATCATGTTCATTATTTTCCCCGTTGCTAAATTTCACTCAGACGTGATTAGACATATTTTATACATTTCCAAATTAAGATTGATTATTTATTGTTTCAATGCCTCTCGATGCCTCTCAATGCCTCGAAGATTGTAGCGGATTTCTCGTGTCTCATGTCGTGATTATTCCCCGTGATTAGTGGAGATAGTGAGAAGAAAGGAAGGATGGGGGGAGAAAATTTATTATCCCGAGGATAATATAAACTTCTGTTATCTGAGGAAACCAACGGAGATACTCGATGAAGTCTTTATTTCCACTTGTAGTCTCTTGTTCCGGCGGTGATAAAAGGAGTAGAAACAAATTCAATGAATTTTTAGAGAGTCATTAGCGTTTAGAATGAAGCTGGAGATGGTGAATGACGTGTACAGGAAGTCTCGGGTGTTTTAGGATGTATAACTCAAATGTTGGGACAATAATATGTTTTATCGAGTGGCCTCGTCGTATTCTCAAACCACAGAACGGATGAGAGAGAAGCGAGGACTTTTATTCTCAGACTTGATGCACAACATCTTTCAATAATCGAGTGTACGTTTTAATCTATACCTGAGCATTCTCACGCAGTTATCCGCGTTATCGATTGGCTCGTCGCTGGAAATGCCACAGACAATACATCCCGAGGTAATCGATACCACGAGTTGTCATCAATTATCCCTCACTATCGCCACAATATCTTGAGATTATTAGAGGAAATATATTTTCATTCCGCGAGAGATCGGGAAATACTGGACTCAATTCGTGATTCGGTTGAATGATTTCGCTGAGAGATTTCAGGGAATTGTGGAATTTTTATTCTTCTCTCCCACCCAAAAAAAATCAGGAATTACGTTTTTTATTTCCTCTGTCGAATCGTGTGTTTTAAATATCGATTGATCGAACATTTTGTCGGAAATCCCGTGAGCCAATAATTTCTTCAATTTTTTTTATCTTAGATTGATAATTCCTGAGATCAATTGATAATTAGGGGATTTTCTGTTGACGTATGACAATTTAGTTCATAAATTTATTTTTAGTTGAGTCAAGTGTTAGCGCAATTTATTTGGGTTGTCGGATTATTGTTAGGATTAAACCGGATTGGATGACCCTTTTTGAATGGAATAAATCCTCAACCGGTTGAAGGGTAAATGGATTTTCACTTGATCCTCGGAATGAATGATCTCGTACAGGTGGCGATGTAATTGTCAGCAGGTGATTTTAAGCGCGCGAATCATGCACACGAAACCTGCGCCAGCAAATGCTCCTTTTGCATTGTGAGAATAAAATAAAAATAAATAAGAGAAAAAAAAAACAGGTTCGACACGCGGGTGACACACGTTTGATATAAAGCCACGCCTGTTAGACGTGTTACATATGTACACACGCGTTGTGCAAAAAAAAAAAGAATAGTACTACGGTTTTATTTACGTAAGTCAATCGTAATTCTATTCATGAATTTTCTCAATCTCTCCCGACCAACTGTGGTGGCTTCATTTAATTGAAAATTCTTCTGCATCATTAGCTCTCGATCAGTTCTTCGATGATTTTGCGAATAAATTCACTACCTGGAGATGACTTATCGCATGACGTGATTAAATAAATCAGGGATTAGTGTAATGAATTCTGGGTATGAATGAAAATATCGGAGAGAATTCGAGTAAATGGCGATAATATTATTACGGCGATGTTAACCGTCATGAGATGTGCAAACCTTGGATTAAACTCTTATCTCGTATGATCTATCTCGATAACCCTGGGTGGCCGGTATGTTCGTGCACATGAACCTTGAAAGTGGGACTATCGTCTCGACGGAAGAGAAAATTCTCGTGAACGGTGCAATTCCACGGTGTGTACAAACACGTGGGTAATTTCACCGAATGGAACTCCCTTTTGTGTTGAATGGTATGATCCACTGAAGAAATCGCGGTATCCCATCTCCTGGTGCATCTCATCGACGTCTGCACGGCGAAAAATTTTTTTCACTCTCTCTACCTCGTTCATTGAGAAATTCTTCCCACACTCGGCAATCTCCAGCGGATGAGAGTAAATCAGAGTGGAAAAAGATGAATTTGTGGATTTAATTAGTGAGCCGACGTATCCGGTGAAATGCTGAGGGAAAGGAGCGACGGATCATTTTTTTATTTTTTTCTCTTCTGCCCTTTTTTTTCTTTTTCATGGAAGTGGGTGGAGATTGGGTGGTGATCATGCGCCTGAGTTTGATCTAGACTGGTTGGATGCTGTGGATGGATCACGTGGTGGGGAATTGCGTTGGGAAGCTGGGGGCGTTACCCTAGACGTCACCATTGGTCGACCTCTCATCTGACTTTTTATCTCAATTTTTTTTCTCTTTTTTCACCCACCCAATCCCCCTCTTTCAACCACTCGGTTGGTTTATCATTCGTCTCACTTGCACTCTTATTCTACTTGTCATGTATCTCTTCCACGCCCCCTCCACTGGGTTACACCCACCTCAGGTCGTTCAAGAGAAGTTGGGAAGAAGGGAAAAATGGCGGTGGTATATCCCGAAGGGGAACTTGTGTGTGGGGGCTTTTTTTTTTCGAGAGGGAAGTGTTACCCTTGGCAACCTTGGAATTATCCATGCGTTAAGCCCTCCGAGGTCTCACCACCTCGCAACGATTTCGTTGAAATTACGTGGAGAAATATTTTTAGGGCAATTTACCCTCAGGCTGGAGGGAAAGTTGCAATATTTAGGGGTCGGATATTCTGCGGGGAAATGGCATTCTCGGAAAAGTTTGCGTGGGGAGATGAGAAGTTCGGGTTTCGCGGAATTTTTCGATTGGGGTACGCAAAATTATGGAGGCTCTTCTGAAAATGGGGAATATTCCTCATTTTTGGAGGTTATTGAATTTTCGGGGAACGGGTCTTATATTTGTTCGTAGAATCAATAGTTTTTTATTATTCATTGATATTTAAGAGACTTTGGGGAATTTTCAAGAGAGAATTTATTTTCACTGGTGAATTCTCTGAGAATTCGGGCATTCGCTACGGAAAATTCCTTAAGTATTGGTTCCATAATATTTCAATTGATGTACATTTCACGTGTAAATCGTTTACTCTCCGTTGAATTACGAAAGATTAGCGTTATTTTTATTGAATATTTTGTCCGCATGACACGAGTAAAAATCTGAGTGAAAAATACTCAAAAAATCGTAATTTTCCGAGAATCTTCTCCTATTCTTTCCCAGAGTTTTCCACTCCAAATTCCGGACTTACCACCATAAATTTCCATTGAATGAAAAAAATAGGGATTACCCGGTGAAAATGTGGCAATCGCGGCAATCGCATGGGGTAATTTTCCCTGACGTGGAGTGGAATATTTCCAACAATCGAAGGATTAACATTTATTTTCCGAGTGTTAGACCTAGTTGAAAAGTTGTATATATCTCGGGTGCTCGAAGGTGTCTCTGAAGATGACACAGTTACGTCAGAAGATGTCGATCTATCGGCGATATATATAGGTGAAAGCTTTGAATCTACAATGGGCAAGAGGGTATCACCAAGGTGGACGTTTCGCATTGGTTGATATGTATAGAGGTGCAAAATGTCGTTGAAAATATATCTAGGGTCTGATACGTGGCCCAACCGAGTTACTCCGCATGTACCCCCAGGGGGTTTATCGTGGCCTAGAGCCGGGTATAGACCTTTGATAAGAATCTATAGACTTTCAGGGTAATAATTTCTAGCCTCATTCGGTGTGAATTATTGACTGAGTGCAGGCGTTGGAGATTGAGACATTTTTCAATTGTTTTGATTGTTTATTTTTGGTGCTTAAGAGGAACGAGGTTGGTGTCGTGGGATCTTTTCTTCAGGGCTCTTTTTTTCTTTCTTTGGCTTTTTTTTTTAGCACGTGCTTGGAGGCTCTTTTTTTTGTGGAATCCACACGACACGTCAGACTGATCAATCAGTTATTGGGACACGTTTTAACAGTATTTGGGGCTTCTCCGGTGGTAGGAGCGGTTCTTCTGCAAATGCCACGCCCTTATTCCACTCAAATAACCCCATTCATCCCCTTTTTGAGTCATCTTTGAAAGAGTGATTCACTTTACTCTTGTCGCAGCTCAAAAACCAGAAAGCATTCGAAATTAATCCATAACCGAATGACAAAGGCGAACAATTAGAATTTTAGGTCAATCAAATATAGATTTCACTAGAAAACTACCGGTTCTAGCAGAAAATATAAAGAGACGTTTTTTCTCAGAAATTTAATAAGCTACAAAAAAGGGCTCTTAGTGTTTTTACCCTGGATCAATAGTTTTCGGGGTAAACTCATGGTTGAGAAAAGTGGTTAATTGGATTTCTGGGTCGACTACGAGGAATTTTATTTTATTCTCAACTTCAAGTGTTGAAAAAAAAAACTGAACACTCGGTTAACATCTTCCCCGTGATCAACGAATGTTCTCGAAACAAAACATCTGAGTACACGGAATAAAAACTATAGAAAATGAAAATGGAGATATATTTCGACACGCGGTGTGGTGAGATAACGTGAGTCTTCGATTCTCTCGTTATCTCTGGACTCTGGGCTACTGTTTTGCTCAATTCCTCATCTTCTTTCCTCTTCTCAAGAACTGAACTCGAGAGAAAACAGATTAGTTATCCCCCTTCCCCCTGATTTCCCAGAAAATTGAGTATTAAAATGCAGAGATGAGGCTCTCTCTGTCATTTCCATGATAATATTGACTCGAAAATTGGTCTTAATTCCCTGGATTTATCTCAATATCGATCTCCTTTGTTGTCACGACAGCCATTCCAATTCCCAGAAATTCCAACACGATAAAATTCAATTTCATCACCTCTGAATGAAGTTAAAACAAATGAATAAATTCAATGCTCCGACAAAATTTGATCATTTGTTTTCAAAGCTGAACGAACCAGGTCAGAGTCAGATGTTGATTTCATCACACCTCAAGGTACCTGACTATCCAATCGAAATCGCGGGATGAATCACGCATCCAAGAACTGACAATCACTCCACCGCATTTATCATTATCAATCAATGCCCAAAAAAAAATTCATAATTCCTCAAAAATTCATTTCACCCACCAAAATAAATACCATAAAACTCACCTTTTTCGGTGCAATCCATGCCGGTTCAATTACACCGGTTATCGATTTAATCCACACGTCATTCCGCCAGAATGTTCATCACGATTAAAAATCCCTCAAAATTCCGAAAAACCAATCACTCTGGATAATCACAAAGGCAAACCACTCCACATCACAAAATTAATACAATAACGATAATATATTGAAATAAATTCCCAGTCTGATCTGATTCTGTTGATTACACAGACACTGAGTTCAGTTTATTTCCCCCAGGTCTCCAGTACTCCAGTGATGATGTATAATTTCGATAATTGTGGTAAATTCACTGGTGAATATTAAAAAATGGATAATAGAGCGAACGATGTTGATAGCACGACTCGCCGCAGTGAAGTGACTCTGAGAATTTCTCTGAACCTGCCTTCGACTCGGTTGGCCTCATCATCTCTCACTACCCAGGTTGTCTTTCGTCTCCCTGGGTTTTTATCCCCACCTCATCGCTCCACCAACATTATCCCCACCCTGGTGGCACATTGGTACAGGCTTTTCTGTCCAGGAGCCTCGTGCTGCTCCACCCCCACTACCCTCCATCGTGCTGCTGCTGCTGCGTCAACTGATGGTTTCTCTATCCCACCAGGTCTGTCTTCCCCCTCTTTCTTCACCATCAACACCTGGTGGATACAGCAGCAGCACCGGAGCAGAGGTGGCCCTCATGGACAAACTCGTCGTGTGTGTTCGGTGGGAATTCAACGTGTGGAGGAACAACCAATACACTTTTATCCACCTATTCCTATCGCAACTCGATGTACCTCTTCTGTCTCTATCAGCGTCCTCTTTTACATCGATCCACATGTCCAGACTATCTTCAATGTCTCACGCATTTTTCCCCTCATTTTCTCCTCATTTTCGTCATCCCTGATTGACCTGGAAATTTTTTTTTCCAAGGAAAACCTGAGGTTTTTTTTTATTCTCGACTTGTGGCGAGTGCTGAGGTCTTTAGTGTCTTCACGATTTTTGGGAGAGGTATTTTTTTGGTATTAGAATTATTAATATTAATTGAATTTCGATCGATTTTTATTGCAGAACAAATTATTCTTATTAATTCCTCAGTTATCTCGAGAACAATCAGTTTAATGGGAAAACACTAAGAGTTCTTTTTTGTAGGCAATGAAATTTCTGATGGATGATGTCTTTCTATGATTTTCCCTAAAGTCGATGGTTTTTAGATTAATCAATGATTTTATGTCATTTTGGTCATTGAGTGCGGAATTTCATTCATTTAAGTCGGAATGTTGATGAGTAATCGGCGAAATTGAAATTAGCAAAGAGAGAAAAAGAAATAAGGAAGCACTTGGTGTTGAACAAACGGGAATCATCCACCGAATGCGGTAAAACTCGGACACACACAACAAATCACGCTCCTTCCGTCTGGCTTGTTGAGGGTCTTATCATATTAATCAATAATTATCCCAGTGAATTACATGAACACTGAGGCACGCTTTCGGTGAGAGTAGTGAAAACTTATTAGCGGTCTAATGATTCTCCAACGTTAGCACATTTCTGGTGGATTATATGTATCTCTGAGATATCCTCAGCCGTATCGTTTAATTTACTCGGTATGTGTCTGTACTCGTTGATTGATCGATTATCGTTTCGAAATAGTTGCCTCTTATGATGGGAAAGCACTGACTATTGCAATTGTTCATTATATTGCGTGCTACACGTTATGAAATGATTAAATTTAGGAACTATTCGTAGGTGAATTGGCGAAAATATCAATCTGATTCAAATAATTCATGCATTTTCATTAAATATCTCGTAATCCAATAGCCACAGTGAAATTTTCGGTAAAACCTCATTTATAGAGCGAAATGAGAGTTACGAAAAAGATTTCAATAATAATTTCGCTATCTGTCTTAGATTCGGCGATATTTCGCGGAATTCAACTGAAGAAAATGTCGATTCGCAAAAATAAATTCCTGGGAGTGAATTTCTCATCATTAAATAATCATTGTTAATTATTGTTGGTGGAATATTATTGGAATTAGTTCTTAGTAAGACTTGGGACTGGAGTGAACTGGAAATGAATTTTTTTTTTGAATGACTGTTGGAAATTTCATTTCCTCTTCTCGAGAAAAGTCGTAAAACAGAGAAAACAGAGAAAATAGAGGGACAATAAAATTTCCAATCCCTTTAGTGCTTTCTCCACTATCTCGGGTTTTTTTTTTCCTCTTGGCATACCTGAGTGCTGACCCAAATTCCTGCTGAGTTTGCAACGCAAATTATTACTCGGACATTATGACTATTTATTGGTCCAGTTAATTCTCTGGGTTTCGGGGTTTTCCGATTGACAAAAATGAATTATAACACCTCGAGAGTGTCTTGTTAAATTCTCAACGGATTATGAGGGGTTTGGAAGTTGTTCCTCGATTCGGATCTACCTGGGGATGACCCGATGATTCTCAGACAAAGAGTCAATCCCCAGAGTCACTCCAAGGACGCGAATGTCGTGAGTTATTGCAATTTTTTGGTGGGTTTATTCAATTATAAAACAGGATAGATAAAGCATCGCGAAGATTGTTGGATGGGGTTTTGGTGCGGGTATGAGGTACCTGAAGACCTTGTGCATATCAATTGAAATTGACCTGGCGCCTGTCCAGATGCCGGGAGAATGGGTCCAAAGGGTTGTCATTCCCCTCGGGGACGTCTGACCGTTTGTTTTTGGTCATTAGATTTAACAAAAAGGGAATAACATAAATTGTTGGGACACTGGTGTCTCAACGGCTGTTGTCTATACCTGGGCATTTTTTCTCTCTTCATCTGGACTGGGAGATGAGTGGAATTTGCATTTTAGTTTTGTCCTAGTGAATTCGGTAATCTCAGTGGCGACAATGACATCCGGATTTTGGTGTTTGGAGGCGACAGGGCCAGATCACGTAGACAACAATCTCGTTTGGGTTTATTTTTCCCCCCCAGGCCATGATTTATCTATCATGTACACCAGGTTGGGAGTAAAATGGGAGAAAAGCCTTGGGATTGTCTGGTCATTTTTATGACCCTCTGTTTCGCCTTCTTGACGCCCTGATTGAGGATTACCACTACTCAGTGGACTGACTCTCAGCACCTCCCACTCCCTTCGTTCTTTTCATCCTCGACCACTCGTTAACCCTCTTTATTGCATCCCGGCAATGTTTATTATGCCAATTGGTAATGGCCCAGGGAAATTACCCCTCGTACTCCGGGTTGAACTATTTTTAACAAGACCGTTACGAAAGTATTCGATATTCATCCAAAAATATTTTCATTTTCCACTAGTCCATCGCAATTGTTGCTATTTTACAAATGGAAAATTTGTTAAATTCTTCAATATCAACATTTCCTTTCTGATTATTTTCTTTTTGAGTATCCCTGGATTTTTAATCCGTTAAGATAATGAATATATTTTTTGGGGTTTTTTTAGGTTTTATTGGCGGTAATTTTGGATTATTGAATTGAAATTTGCGAAAGGAAATTTGAAAAAGGAAAAAGTAATTTTTTATGAAAAAACTCTTCAGCAATTCTTATCTTGTTTTTTTAACACCGGATTTCGTGACACTTGCGGTCATGAGGCGTCTCCTGTGATTTCGGGTAATTATTCAGTCCTGATTGTCGTTGAGGTTTTTGTCGATGATTCGACGTCAGTGAGGAAAACATTTGGTATCAGAAGAGATAGGGATTTAGATCAATGTTACCGATTTTTCCAACTACTGTATCAATCGATAAGCCGTGTACACATCCGTAAGTGAAAACAATTATTGGGGAGAAGGGGGAAGGGTAATTAGTGGTAAATGAGTTCGAGATTGTCAGTCTTCTCGTTTAGGAAATTCCGTACACCGAGAATCATTACGAGTGTTTTTAATCGTTCGTAAGTCGTTTTTGGACGATTCTATTTATCTTAATGTCATGCCTTGAAAATTCTTTTTAGGTTTAACGTTCATGAGATTTTGTTGACGAGATATTTAGGTAATTGCGGACATTATAAAGACGTTAGGGTTCAGTCATCTCGGGAATATTTCGAACTGAATACGTGAGGTCATTGTTTTGAGGGTAGAGAATAAGTGTCACAAATGGGAGGGGCAATTGCTTTATTTCCATGGGGTACCTGGGGCCCTTTGTAAATACCCGGGGGTCAGTTTCACCCCTTTTTTGCCCTTTTTTGTCAATCATCCGAAGCCTAGGTGAAGATCCCAGAGAATTCATTCAGAAAATTTGCATAAAATGATATTTTTCCAACAAAAAATTCTTAAATCAATCATTCTGATTCGAGAAAACACTTTCTACCGGTGGCTTCCACATTTTCTTCGGGGTTTTCGCGGAATTGTTTTTCTCCGCGCACAGAAATATGGTAATATCGAGGAAAAAAAATGAACAACAACAGTTAATTCTCGATTCATCGGTCTTATCATCTTGGCCTCGCGCTCGCAGCGAAAATTAAGACGGAAAATTGTCTACTCGTCTGACCATTACGAGTGCATGCTTGTTTGCCTGGGGAGTCATGTAATGACTCGTTGCGATAAGTACATGAGGTTGTCCTCATGTGCCTTCTGTGCGTCTTGTTTCGTTACAATTTTTCTTGGAGTTTATATTTCCCATACTGACAACTTTACGATGTCCTCAATATCGAGGAAAACTCGTAACTGCTTAGCTAATTTTTCAAAGTAAATATCAACGATAAAGAATCGTTCATTTTTTATATATGTGTAGATTTTTTTTTCCTCTCTCACTGCGAGTCAGAAACATTTTTGCGGCACTTTAACAATGTATTTTTACCTGAATGGTAATCGGAGAAAATGTCTCAATCGTTTTTCACAATTTATTTAAAATTATTTCAGTTGAAATAATGTTTTAATGTTTGCGGTTGGTGATAAAGCGTTATTTTTGAATGAGGGAGATAAATTATTGTTCGAGGGAAAGCGTTGAGAGGAGTTTTGAGAGGAGACGTGATGCTGGATTGTCAATAAACTCAAAACTGATAAGTGCGATTAGATCGCTTTTTATTTGCCTTCCAGCCCTCGTTCGTGTTTGATCAGTGATGTCACTGGTCCATCCGGTTTCTTTTTCAGAAATACTTCGGAGTGTTTCACTCTTTCCATTATCCTTGGAGAGAGAGAAACACCCCGGGCCCTAATCTCCGAAGAAAATAAAATAACAGTTCTAAAATTCAAGGAGTGAGGAGTGCTAAAATTCAGATATTTTTTTTCTCACTATCTATCGGTGACAAATCCCTGGGAATTATTTGAGGAAATTTCCCTGATTTTTAGAAATATTTCAACCGAGTTTCCGGTAATTGTTTCCTTATATCCGTCTAATGGATTGACATTTCAAAAATTTAATGAATTGTTCAATTTTGTTATTAATCATTCCTTTTTATTATTCAACAAATTGTAGTGACAGCACTCAGATCATTATAAACTTTAGTAAAT